AAATCACCCCCCAGGAGGGATGGCCACGCCGCAATCCTTCTCCTCCATTCTCCTCTCAGGATCTTGGGCACGCACGCACACACGCCTGGCGTGAGTTTTAAGCCACCGGTCCAGGACGCGAACCACAGTTGACTACATGGGAGTCCAATGACATAGCCATTACGCTAACTGCTGGTCCCTCAGGGTATGTCTTAAAGCAAGGTAGTATACATGCTCCAGCTTTGTTCTTCCTTTTCAAGATGGACTTAGTCCTTGGCACATCCACATAATTTTGGAGTCAGCATGCCAATTTTTATTTTAAAAAGCCTTTGGGATTATGATTACACAAACCTGAACTTTGATTTTACATAGAGAATAGAAGAGATATTCTGAGGAGACCAGGAACACAAAGTTAAAAGGGACAGAATATAGGGAGCAGCATATGGCATGTAGTTAAGGCACTGGACTCCCACATGGCCAACCATGGTTCAAATCCCAGACCTGGTGGCTTGAAAATCATGCCAGGCATGTGTGCATTTGTGCCCAAAATCCTGAAAGGAGAATGCAGAAGAGATTGTGGCATGGCCATTCCCCCTTGTGGGGAAGGAGGTGGTTTCTCACTTTCCCTCTCTCTGTCTCTCTCTCCAGCAAGTACATGTGTTCTATGGCAAAAACTTTAACAAAAAAGGGAAAGATGAGTACAAAGTGAAACAAATATTCAAAAATTCTATTACATTTAATAACAGGGAGGTCACTGGGACCTCCATAATGGTACTGGGTCACTGGAAAAGTCATGACATATTTTTCTGTGTTTTTCTATGCAAAAAATCTGTCATGACTTTTCCAACAACCCAACAGTTTCATTGGCCTGGTTGGAGAAGAACTCAGACTGAAATTAAACACTATTTCCCACTTTCATTCTTGTTAATAAATCTAAACTGTAGCTATGCACAGAAAACTTGAAAGATTGTACCACCTCAATTTTTTTCTAGTTAGGTGTAGTCAGTAAGGACTGGCCAATGGCCTGTCAGAGGGTGTACAACGTGCAATCTTTGAGAGCTGTCCTAGGGGTACATGTGCCTCCTACACCTTCCTTCTTCCCTCTCGTGAGAATGAGCAACTAAAAGCTGAAGTGAAAGCAGCCGTCATAATGATGTGGTATCATATTGAGGAGGGTGGAGCAGCGAGACTCAGGAATCCGAGACCCCGAGACCGGGGATCAGCTGCCACACCAGCCCTGGACTGCATGCCTATGAAGTCACATGCATATTTAAGTCATTTCTATCTTATGTTTACTGTGTAATACAGCTGGGGCTGATCTTTTTTTTTTTAAGATTTTTGCCATAGAGTGTGTGTGCTGGAGAGGGTCAGAGAGAAGCAAAGTGAAAAATCACTCCGCAGGAAGGATAGCCACACCACAATCCCCTCTCCTCCATCCTCCCCTTGGGATCTTAGGCACGTGTCCACACATCTGGTGTTTTAAGCCTCCATGTCCAGGACCAGAATCGCAGAGCTGGCTGTATAGGATCCAATACCTTAAATAATATGCCACCTGTCTGCCCCAGTGGAGTGTAATCTTTTTTTTTTTTTTTTTTGGGGGGGGGAGAGGTTTTTGCTATAGGGTGCGTACACTTGCCAGAAAGGCAGAGACAGACAGAAAGCGAGAAATCACCCCCTGGGAGAAATGGCCACGCCGCAATCCCTTCTCCATTCTCTCCTTGGGATCTTGGGCACGCACACACACGCGCCCAGCGTGAGTTTAAGCCACCAGGTCTGGGACTCGAACCATGATCAGCTACATGGGAGTCCAGTGACATAGCCATTACGTCCACTGCTGGTCCCCAGCAGAGTCTAATCTTAACTCACCACAGTTTTAAACATCCATATGCCAGTGATCCCAATTTATTATTTTTTTAATTTCCCAATTTACTTCTAGCCCCAATCTTTCCAAACTCATGTATCCAGCAGCTACTAGATGTTTCCACATGGGTGTCCAATAAGACGTTCAAAATTAACTGTCCAAAATGGATTTCTTCATTTTTTTCTCCCCACTCGTTTTTTTCCATCACCATTAATCAAATGATAAATGGTTTTTGACTGAAAACAGTATATGATCTACCTTGTAGTCCAAGCAAAACCTTAGATTACCCTTGATTCACGTTTTCCCTTCACCCCGTGCTCTCTGCCATTAAAACATACCCTGAGAAACCAGCAGTTGGCATAATGGCTATGTTGCTGGACTCCCACATAGTTGACCGCGGTTTGAGTCCAGGACCCAGAGGCTTAAACTTGCGCTGGGCATGTGTGCACGTGTGCCCAAGATCCTGAGAATGGAGGAGAAGGGATTTTTGGTGTAGCCATCCCGCCAGGGGGTGATTTCTCACTTTCTATATCTCTGTTTCTCTCTGTCTTTCTGGCGAGTGCATGCACCTTATAGCAAAAATCTCTCAAAAAAAAAAAAAACCCAAGTCCATACGGCCTCCTCCATCTTACTGCTAGCACTGTAGTCTAGTTCCAGCTACGATCAGCTCTTGTTTGGGGTAATACGACAGCATCCTCAATGGTGCTTTTAGTAACTGAAGAAATCTTTCCAAAGATGAAAACGTTCCAGAGATGAATAGTAGTAATGCTTGTACAACAATGTGAATGCCACTAAACTGTATACCTAAAAATGGTTAAAATGGTAAATCTTCTGTGTATTTTACCACAACAAAGAAAAAAAAAAAAAGAAATCTTTCCTAGAGACAATAGTCTCCTATATTTTTTCTAAATATCTTCCATGAGTATCTTTTGCATTTAGGTTTTTAACCTATCTGGAAATTAGGATTGTGAATGGTGTGAAGTAGGAATTTAATTTTGTTTTTATTCCATATGAACACCACATATCTCAGCATTATTACTGAATGGTACATGCTTTCCCCCTGCTTTCTAACAGCACTCAGAAGTATGCTGAGCTCACGTGTGCACGGATTTATTTCAGGCTCTTTCCTGTGCTCCATGAGTCGACATTTCTATCTGGAACCAACACCATACTGTCTTTATTATAGCTCTATATTAACACTTGGTATATTTTAGGGCGAGATCTTATTGAATCAGCTTCTTCAAAACTCAGCTATTCTTGTTCCACTCTCCATATAAATTTCAGGTTCAGCATGTTAAGTTCCATTAAAAAAGAAGAATTAAGTGATATTAACTGACATTGCAGTGCATTTGTAGAACTGGAAAAAACTGACATCTTTTCAATAGTTTTCCCACTGATAAACATGGCATATTTCTCTATTTACTAGGACTTTCCTGTATGCTTCAATAGAGTATTATCATTTTTCTCCCTAAAGAACTATACAACTTCAGTGTGATCTGTTCCTAGATAGCTTTAGATTTGTATGCTATTATAAATAGAATCTTTTTAAATTAAAATTCTAGTTAATTATTGCTAAGATAAACTTTTTTAATGTTCTTTTTACTGCCAGAGACTATGTCAGCTCACCAGAGAGAGAACAGAAAGCATCACCCCCCCATGGGGTATGGTCATGCCACAATCCGTTTTTCTCTATCTCCAACTCCTCAGCATTTTGGTCAAGCACACACAAGCACTCAGTGTGTTTTTCAAGCCACTGGGGGAAGAAATTGAACTTTGGTTGGCTACATAGGATAGCACTCCAATGTACAGCCTGAAAATTGTTTCCCCTCCTCCCCCAGAAATCTTCCTGAAGGCCATTTCTGATACCCTATAACCAAAGCTGCATTTCGAGAGGATGGATAGTGGTGCAGCAATAACACAATGCTCCATGAGGCTGACCCACTCAGAAGGGCTCCGGATCCCATCCACAGACTGCTCTGAACATGCTGGGCCACCTGATCCCAGGCTGACTGAGGCTGGGGGCAGATCACAGCATGGAGACTGTTGGGGATACCTCTCTAGAAAGAAAGAGAAGAAAGGAAAGGAAGAAAAGGAAAAAAAAAAAAAAAAAAAAGGGAAAGAGAGGAGGACAAAGAGAAAGAAACTTTAAAAAATTAAATGTTTTCTGTCACTACCTAGAACCTTGTTAAGCGATTTTAGTGTTTTCAGGTCCTCCACTAAAATTACTTATTTGTTTACTACTGTATCACAAGTGTCTATAAAAAGTGTATGGCACCTACCGGGTGCACAAAAAAGGTTTGCTGAATAAATGAATGGACATCTTAAATCTAGACCATTTGGAGAAACACAGAAAAAAATAAATATTTCAGGGCTGCCTGTGACCTAGTGGTTAAAGGAGCCAGATCCCCCAGGGCCCACCACAGTTCAAATCCTAGCCTGGTAGCCTGAAAAACAAACCCGGCAGATGTGCATGCACACCCTAAATCCCAACAGGACTGGGAAAAATGGAAAAGGGATTACTGTGTTCATTGCAGGGTGCTTTCTCCTTCTCCTTCCATCTCTCTCCCTCTGGCAATTTAAGAAAGAAAGAAAGAGAGAAAGGAAGGAAGGAAGATAGACAGACAGGTTTTTAAGTGTGGGTCAGAGATGAAAACCTACTTAGTCTGAGAGGTGGAGTTTAGATTACTCACTCTCAGGTCCTTAATGTGCAGGCATCCATCCAGCACCTGGAGCTCAAGAGTGAGTGAAAGAATTCATGAAAAGATCGAGGAGGGCAAGGTATGCAAGAAGAAAACAAAGACGCCAAGAAGAGATGCTTGAGAAGAGCTATACTTGAGGACAAATTTTAAAAAGAGAGCGCAATAATACAAAGCCATCGGAGGAAGGGGTGTAAGGGATGGGAAGTGCGAACTAAATGGAAGAGCTGAGAAGTCACACCCACACACACGTGAGGGCATGCATGGGCTTCGCTAGGGAAGTACAACTTAAGTAACAGAAAACAAGAACCTCCCAACTCCACCGACAAAAATAAGAGAGTTCCCTCAGATTATAAATCAGAATTTGGGAAAGGGATCAACTTCAGCATCTTCTGGGGTCTTTCACGCGTAAAGTGAACATTACCAGGGGCTCAGACCTATCCGCACCCACTCTAGTCACTTTCCGGGTCCGAGAGCGAGCAAGAAGCTGTGCTCTGGAAGGCTCAGATCTGAATGATGAGGTTGTTTCTTCCTCCTCCTTGTCACCATCTTTCCGAGCACGGGATGATGGACCGGCGGGTGTTCTCCTCTGGGCCGCAACAGCAACCAGAGAAGCGAAGGACCATGAGAGAAGCGCCAGGTTCCGGAGGACCAGAAAGAAAACCCCACGCACCAGAGCGGGTCAGCGGGTAGGTCGGGCTGTGCGCCCTCGGGGGACGCCCGGCCGTGCGAGTCGCTGCCCTCCCACTCCCCGCCACGCCCGGCTGCGCCGACGCCCTCGGCCACCC